TGTGTGGGGGGAGACCCTGGCTCCCAGAGGCACCAGGAGTGTCTGGCACTGCAGGCGGAGGACACACGGGAGAGGGGTACACCCTGTCCTCCCTGGGGGTTTGCAGTGTCTGAGGGTGAGTGACAGTGCCTGACACTGACCCACTGTGCTACAGACCGACTTGCTGGTGGTGTAGACTAGGCTTCTCCCAGCACGTGCTCTGCGGAGGGTCTGAAGGAACAATGAGTGCCTGTGGCACCTTCACAGAGATGGAGGATTCTGCCGGGTTTTGGAGGCTGAGCAGCACTTCACAAGAGCCACTGTCCCAACTGGCCACGCCCGCCCATAGGAAGCAGTGCTGCCTTGGCTGTTCTAGTGAAGACCAGCCTCCTCCAGGAGCAGCGGTGACATTGGCAGGCCCGCCCTCCACTGTGGCAGAGACTGTTCCCACCCCGTGAGCCCTGCCTCCCAGGTCTGCTGTTTCTGTGTCTTCCATTCCCACTGCCTGTGGGGCACATCTGTTTGAAGCACTAGAACAAAGAATGTGTGTTTTCTCTCCTGCTGGATATTTAAACGGCCCAGTTTTCCCGGATTCCAGCCTTCCTTCCCTAGACTGTCTGCGCTCTGCGGTGGTGTGGAAAAGGCTGGCAATGAGACCCTTGAGGATATGTAAAAGGACCAACTAGAAATTAAGCATACACTGACTGAAATAAAGAATATTATACAGAGATCCAACAGCAGACTAGAGGATCACAAGAATCATGTCAAAGATTTGAAATACGAAGAAGCAAAAAACACCCAACCAGAAAAACAAAAAGAAAAAAGAATCCAAAAATATGAAGATAGTGTAAGGAGCCTCTGGGATAACTTCAAGCATACTAACATCCGAATTATGGGGGTGCCAGAAGAAGAGAGAGAGCAAGATATTGAAAACCTATTTGAAGAAATAATGACAGAAAACTTCCCCTACCTGGTGAAAGAAATAGACTTACAAGTCCAGGAAGCACAGAGAACCCCAAACAAAAGGAATCCAAAGAGGACCACACCAAGACACATCATAATTAAAATGCCAAGAGCAAAAGACAAAGAGAGAATATTAAAAGCAGCAAGAGAAAAACAGTTAGTTACCTACAAGGGAGTACCCATAGAACTGTCAGCTGATTTCTCAACAGAAACTATGTAGTCCAGAAGGGAGTGGCAAGAAATATTCAGTGATGAATAGCAAGAACCTACAACCAAGATTACTTTACCCAGCAAAGCTATCATTCGGAATTGAAGGTCAGATAAAGAGCTTCACAGATAAGAAAAAGCTAAAGGAGTTTATCATCACCAAACCAGTATTATATGAAATGCTGAAAGGTATTCTTTAAGAAGAGGAAGAAGAAGAAAAAGGTAAAGAAAAAAATTATGAACAACAAATACATATCTATCAACAAGTGAATCTAAAAATCAAGTGAATAAATAATCTGATGAACATAATAAACTGGTGAATATAATTGAATTAGGAGCATAGAAAGGGAGTGGACTGACAATTCTCAGGGGGAAAGAGTTGTGGGGGGTGTGGGAAGAGACTGGAAAAAAATCATATACCTATGGATGAGGAGTGGGGGGGGGGGTAAGGGCAGAGTGTGGGGTGGGAACCGGGTGGAGGGGAGCTATGGGGGGAAAAAAGAGGAACAACTGTAATAATCTGAACAATTAAGATTTAATTGTTTAAAAAAGAAAGAAATAGGCTAAAGAAAGCTTTTTGCCAAGGCTTAAACTTTCTGTGCATTATGAAAAGTAGTCTGCATGCATTTAGAATACAGGTGAAATTCTTTCAGGAAGTGAGGTTTCTGTATTTGGAAAGTGTAACAGCAGGTGTGAATGGAACATGTCCTTTCTGACCTCCTGTAGCATCTGGATAAGGATACAGACCAAGAATGCAATTAAATGTGATTTTAATGTACAAAGAAATTTATTCAGTATCAAGTGGGCTTGAAACTGCAATAATTAAAACAATGTGGTACCAGAACAAGAATAATAGACAGGTTGATTAATGAACCAAAATAGGAGATTTAGATTTAAATAAGTATAGGATTTAAATTAGTTATAAAGGTGACATTTCAGATTGCTGAAGGAAAGATAAACTTCCCAATAGTTCTGGGTTAATTTCCTGACTACTAAAAACAATAAGATCCTTGAATTACAAAAAATACCTAAATGAATTCCAGCGGGATTAAATTTAAAGTTGGTAAAATCTATATTGGAATATACCTTAGCCAACCTATAAAAAAAATTTTTTAACATACTTCCCTTTTGACCAAATACTTTTACTTTCAGTAGATGTTCATCACATCACTGTTTATTCTTACAAAAATCAAAGATTAATGTTGAAATAAATATCAAACAATAAAGAAATCATATCAATAACATACAGCGTACACTTATGAAAATGGGCTACTGCATTATCAATACTAATGATTTGTGCTACAAGACTCATACATTACTTTTATAACTAGACAATAAGCAAAATCATTATTTAATTAAATATAGAAAATATATCCAACTAACTACTATAAACTACTTGAAGCCAAAAAGAGTACTTTTGCCAGAAGTGACAATTTTATTCCAAAAGAGGACTAGATTGGTCAGCATTGCAATTCATACTTAGTAGGCACATTAAAAAATACCTGAAGATGTCAATTATCACTCTCTTAAAATCATGGAAGTATTTTTTAAAATACCAGTAACACTCTGCCATCCAGCACTGTGCTGAGTACATTTTTAGACATGAGTTTAAAGTCATCTTATCTAGTCATCTTGGATGAGATAATCCTAGAGGTATGCTATGCATGGTATCAGGAGAAAGAGTGTGGCGGTGGGATGCATGCCACATACCATGTACTAAGAACATAATCTCAGAGACATTGAGGCATGCCTCTAAGACTTAATCCCCTCTTCTGTAGAATGCTGTTGACAACCCCTTTTTAATCAGGGCTGTAGTAAGGAGTCACTGAAATAATGTTTATGAATCTCTTAGCACATTGTCTAGTTCATAGGGGACAATTTGTGTTGTTACTATAAAAATTAAATGGGAAGTATTAAAAATTAAATTATGATTGATAGTGACCTACTACAAGCCCAATCATGTAACAGGTGGTTAATAAACAGTAACAAGTTAGGTTACCTTTCCCTCACTGGTAAAAGCAAATTTGACCAAATAGGATAGCTAAAGTTGTCCAATCTCCTTACTAGGCTGTGTCTGCTTCTGGTTAGCATATCCCCCCTGATAAGAGTGCCTAAAACATAGTATCTACTATGTTTTTGTACATGTTGAGTAAATGTCCCTATGTCTTTATTAACAGAGCATAGAATCAAAATTTTTCTTTTTTTACCCTGTAGAAATATCATCAAAGTAAAATATCATTTTAAAAAACCCCCACTAATTTTCTAAAATTTACTATGTTACCCGACCAGGTCCCAAACTTATTTATCAGTTCAAGTTCCAATAAACAGCAAAAGACAGAGAAATGAGAACATCTTATTTCGAATTGAGTGAAGAGAACACATATTGGCATCTCAACAAGGGCGCAGATTGAATACTTGAACGCAAAACATTTGAGGATTTTCCCATTAAGCAATTTTCCTCAATTAAATCCATATACACCAAATTGCCATTTACTGCAGGGCAGAACGGCCTACCCTAACCAATTTCACAGAAGTACTTTTGGTACACAGATTACAACCACACAGAGGACAGCAGATCAATCAAAGATACTGGTTTCTAGGGCAAAGAGAGATACAGCTGGGACAATAGATCCATTGTAAAAACTGTCAAAATAATTCATGTCAAAAAATCCAGAATATTTGTTTCATGCTTTGTATTTTGCTAAATGCCAAATTTTTCATATTGTGTCTCTTCAATGTTCTTGTGAGGATGATAATAGCAGTAACAATTCTTATGTTACACTTATCAAAACTCTCTTAATATTGCTTTCCCCATCATTCCTTCGAGCATTTAGCATAGAAAAACTTTTTTTCAAAGAAAGGTATTTGAAAAGCTCTTTTAAAATAGCTCACTGTTTTATCATGGTCTCAGAAAAATGATTAGTTTGGTTTGTAAGGTCCCCGTCTGACACCATCTATAATAGTCAACTTAGGCTATGTTGTTAACAAACAACCTATTAACAAACAACATATCAGTGTCCTAATAGAGCAAATTTGTATTTTTTTATTTACACGAAGTTTGCCACAATGCCATTCAACCAAACTTTCAGATCAATTGTCCTCCAAACAGTGACCTATATGCAGGCTGCTTAGCTTTGGAGGAATTGCCAATACAATACAAGGTGTCCTCATTCATCACAGAACAAATGAAAATTGTGCATGAGCTTTAAGTCCCTCAGCCCAAATGCAACATTATTCACAGGAATGTGTATATGAGTAAATGAACATTTGAGGAACAATACTGTCCCTTCCTTGCCTCCTTACCTGTTCATCCTTACCTCTTCCACTCTCCAACCTGCTCTGAGCTCTTAGCTACACATGGTTTCTTCAATAAGCCATGTTCCCCTGTGTGGGGGATACTCTTTCCTATCACATTCCTTTTCCCCTCTCCCCAACCCCTCTGCCTAGTTGATTTTCATTTTCTTGCAATATCAGCTAAGCATCACTTTCTCAGGAAACTCCTCCCCAAAAGGCTCCCCATCCACAAATACCATTACAGGTATGTTTCCTTTAGAAGATTTATTATACTGTTCAGATCTTTGTTCCTCAGTCTATTTTACTGAGGCTTGTCTTTTCCACTAGAATAATGACTGCAAGAGATCATGAACGATGTTGATTTTTATCAGCTTTATACCCCCAGCACATGGAAAATAATCGGTATGTAATATGAATTCAATAAATATCTGTTATATGAGTAAATAAATGATGAAGAATTTATTTTATGTTCAGAGACAGTATGAGACATGACTAAAGGCACTACGAATTAATGAAAAAGCCAAGCCTCATACCTTGGTCTTCTGACTCTAAAGTCTGTTCTTTTTCATGGCTCCCCGTGCGCTAACTTTGGAAATAGGCAGATCCTTGGAAGGAGGTGACATCTCCAGAGACCCTTTACTGTTAGAAAGGAATAAAGAAGAGACACATTTTCACCATCTGCTTTCACAGAACCCACAAGTCCTTGGAACTGGGGATATTTGAGTGTATACTTTAATTACAAAGTAATCACTGTCAACTTGAAAAAGCAAAGGAAAGTACTGTTAATGTCAGCCAAGAGAGCTTTTAGATTTTGAAGACAAAACAATTGCTTGCCCAGTGGCTTCTTTCTATTGTCCCTCCATCTTTATTTTCAGACTGTGGGGACAATAAATCACGTTGCCTTGTCATATCACCCTTTCTGAAAACAGAATTCTGTTTACATGAACACAAGTTAGGGTCCCAGCTTGAAAGTCTGTAAGGCTGCAAACCAGCTCAAGTGACTGCAAAGCTTTTGCTGTTCCTGTGGACCATCTGACATGAGATGAAACTTCACTATGAGATCGTTAAAAAACACTACTTTCAAAACATATATGAACACCCATTGGAAAGAACATTTAACATATTTTAAAAGTATAAGGAATAAAGCAAATTTCATTTGAAATCCTGCCTCCCAAACACCATAATCAGAGTTAACATTTGGGCAAATGTCCTTCCATACAGCTATCTCTCAACAAACTGTATCTTTAAGGAGTTGGATGGTTTTAAATGCGCACCCAAAAATGAAATTGTACAGGGCTGAAGAGCCTTGAGTTTGAACACTAACTCTGCCACCTACCAGCTGTGTGATGTTGGACAATCACTTAAGTTATTAACTTTTACTTTCTTCATTTTAAAAAATGTGTATTTGTTTTTCAGTATGGTTATGAAGATAAAAGGAGGTAAGTTCTGTAAAGTACCGAGGACAGTGCCAGGCATACTGAGGCATCTAAAGGGAAAAATAAACACAGCTTTATTTTCCCCGTGGAGCAAAGGTGGTGATGATGTAAAGTGGAGCTTGCTGCACATAACAAATGGGAAAGTGGAAGATGCGGGCACAGGCATCCTACAGTGAGAAGGGCAAGGCCAATGCTTTCACCATTTTTTTTTATTAGTATAATGAGTGCTGAGGCTGAGCTGGCTTTTAGACAACTCGGAGGTTTCAGTTTACTGAAATTATCTGAAAAGTAATTCTCTGCAAAAATAAATTACCTGTATTTATGTGAAGACGAGAACTATCAGTTATTGAGCAAAATGTGAGGCAGGGGATTATAATGGGTCCTGTATATTCATCATTTTATTGAATCCTCTCAACAATACGAAGAGGCAGTTGCTGTTCCTAACCACATTTTGCATGTTAGAAACATAACCCTCGCAAGTATAGGTGATTTGCCCCAAGACTTACATGTAATAGCAGAGGACCTCAGATATGATTCTAGGTCTGACTGACTACAAATTTGAAATCCTAAATCACCAATATTTTGTCAGTCATTGAAATATCTGCATTTTTTTTTTGGAATCCTATAAAAATGTTCTCTTCTGACGAAGAGAACAGTTATAATTTTTAAAGCAAAATATGATGTCTACTTCATAGACAAGGAACCTAAGAAAATAATGACAATGATACCACACATCTAAATTGTATAATATACTCTTTCAAATGTCACATGATTCTTGCAACAATGTTTAAAACTGGAGAGCAGACACTAACTACAATGCCTATTTTATTTATTGAAGAGGTTAGATCACAGATTCACTTAGTATTAGAAGAAACATCTATACTTCTCATACTTTTAATTCAGTATTATCTTTACAATACTATTTTATTTCTCCTGAGAAAAAACTTAAATTAGTTTAAAACTCTTTAAAATACATGTCCTGGAGCAAAAAAATTACAGGACGTTTTTAAAGATATTTTGTACATTAGCTAAGGAAAGTCTTTGGTTTGAGACAAACCAAATCATGTGCACCTCAAATAGCTCTGACTAAGGACTTATAGGATAAGATCCTAAATGAGATTTATGACAAGGCTTATCTGGTGTTGGTGCAGACTTCTGTGATAAAGAAGAACTTTTCCTGCTAATTTTGTATGATCTATACTTGAAGCTATTAGGGACTATTTTTGTGAGAAATCAAAATGACTGCTTTCATCACAATGAATGATATTTGACTTTAGAAAGAAAATGTAATTAACTGACTCACAGTACAATCACTCTGAATTAATCAAGAGTAGACAGATATTAATTCAGAAGGGGAAAATCCATCAAGAGCCAACCACGTTAAAGTGTAGAATCATTAATATCCATTTCACAAGACCAGATGCCATTGGCTCTTGTCAACCAACAGCCTGGCACAATCACTTTCTCTTCTCTCTGCCGCTGGTCCATGGAAAAACACAGCTTACTGAAAACTTAATGTGCTTCTCATTAAGGGGCTTTGTGGACGGGCATAATGGATTGGTTCTTAAATGAGAATTTATTAAAATAAAAAAACCTTTTCATTAAAAGTATTTAACCTTACTGTAGACTTCTATTTTGATCAGAACTTAAACCTTTATGCCCAGCTTGACTTACTGAAATAAAAACTGAGAGTTGACTACAACCTTCCAGTAGTGAGGTAGCCTATCCAACCCAGCTTTGTGGAGTAACCACGGGGTAGTTCAAAACAAACCTGGAATAAAATGCACATCCCACCACATTTCAACTATATGCCATGAGCAAATCACTTTACCTCTCTGAGTCTCAGTTCTTTCATCTGCAAGATCTGGTGACTATCTACATGCCAGGGAGTTTTGAGGTTTAATTGGAATAATGCATTTAATTGCTTTGTAAACTCTAAAGTGGTATTCCCATCTTGGTTCCTGCAACATATTGGCTAGGTGGTCTTGGGTTAAAGGTATGTGGTCTATAAAAGGTAAGAACAACTCCTTGTAAGATTGTTATGTAAAAAAGTAGTAAGAACCAAATGGAACATGCAGTTGTTACTCACTAAGAGTAATCACTATTGTTTTTATTATTATTGTTATTATTACTATGTTTAGTAAGCCAATAGACTTCTCCAAGCCCAACATTATCAGACTCTTAGACAGCAGCAGTGGGATAATCATAATAGAAAGTATAATATACAATATAAGAAATTTTGGGCAGAAAACAAGTAAAAAAAACATGGTAGGGTTTAGAGAGAGGAGCTTTCTCTGCTAAATTTGTGATTATTTGCAGCGCATACATTTACACATTTAACGTTTTTTGTGATTATTTCCAATAACCTTTGTCTTAAATATGTCTTGAGTTACAAGAGATTAGAAAGAAAGCATGTATGTTGAATAATGTCAGCTCATATTACTGAGTACTTATTATATGACAGGTGTGATATTATTATAACCCCATTTTATAAAAAACAAAACAAAAACCTAAGCTCAGGGAGGCAATGAGACTGATCCAAGGTAATTCTGACTCTGTATGAGACAAAGCTGGGGTTCGATGATTGGTCTGTCAACTAAACCATTAACTCAAGTGATAACTGATTTGGGGTGGTCTGCTCAACTGTCATTATGCTCAGCAAAGGACACTAACATGGTGATTCGGAACTGTGGAAGCTACAAGGCTTAACATAGTTGAGAAGAAAATGAAGGTGTAAAGAACCACCCACAATGTTGCTCTTAACAAAACATGTGCTTATTTATTAATGGAAATGCAAATGAATTTGCTCTATTTGGCAAGGTTGAGATAATCTGATTCATATAAATTGAGATGCTGTTCTGCTGGTTTCACAGAAGAGAGCTAAAATAGAGCTTTCGACTGCTAACACAATTGTATAAGGGAGCTAATTATTTTGGTTAAATGTCACTAATAACTAATGGGGAAAATTTCATTTTTGCTAAACATGGAAAAATATGTGACTAATAGCTGAATGACAAAGGCACTTAATCGTCACTTATTAACTGGTAACTTTAAAGCCACAGCTACATATCGTTTATTTTTATTTTTATTTTAAAAAGAAACATTCCTTAGCCTGGCTGGCATGGCTCAGTGATGAGCATCGACCTATAAACCAGGAATTCATGACTCAATTGGTCCCCAGTATGGGGTGTGCAGGAGACAGCAGATCAATGATTCTCATCATTGATATTTCTATCTCTCTCCCACTCCTTTCCTCTCTGAAATCAATATATCTATATAATTTTTTTTAAAGAAACATACCTTTAGAAATAAAGGCAGCTTTCTGTCAGAAAGGACCATGAAGAAGCCCCCACAGCCTAGAGCCCTAGACTATTCTTTGTGAGTAAACAGAAGAAGAATAGCTGGCCCTCCAAGAGCATAGCAGACGTCATTGGGAATTCTCTCCTTTCTTTCATTGCATTGCCTTATATTTCCATGTGGAGAGAGTGTGATCTCACCCTCAGTTCTGCTGGGCAATCTCGGGCAGGGGGAAGCATCAGAAAGGTTACTGATGATTTTGTGAAACACTGTAACTAAAGGCTTTAAGCTATGGCCGTTGAACACTTTTGAAAAGCATGTCTGTATGTCTGTTTGGAACTGAGCTTCCCTTTTTTGAAATAACAACATTGCAGAGGTGGCTAGTGACAAGGTGAGCAGCTGCTAAGGACTTAAAGTCCACAGTATTTGCTCAAATGCATGAACGTCTGTATGCATGTGTGTACGCTCAAACACGCTCCCACTCAGTGTGCTTGTCCTATTCAGTTTATTATCATTAGATGGTATTAGCTGAGCTGATTTCTTGAGGATGATCTTTCTTGCTATTGAAAACACTGGCTAGATGCTCATTGGTCCCATTTTGTCTTTGTGGGAACAGAGAAAGACTGCATTTCCAGTCTCTTTTGTAGTTAGATTATATGGCTAGGTTCAGGCCAAGAGAACATGGCTAGAGTGATATATGCTGCTTTCAGGTCTAGCCTTAGAATGTCATCCAATTCACCTCCCAATGCCAGCACCACCCCACACCTTCCTGCCTAACCTTGATGGTGGATGACGCTAGCCTGACCTTGAAGCCTCAACATGACACAAGCATAAGATTTAAATAGCTTGAGTTCTAGCATCACCTGCCTCAACCTTCAATGGGAGTGAGAAATAAGCTTTTCTGAT